ATAGGTTCTGAATGTCCTTACATAGCAGTTTAAAGAAATCTTCCCAATGTCTCTATACAGCTGCATACTACTCCATTATATGGATATCCATACATCATTCAACCAGTTGCCTTTGACAATATTTGTGTTGTATCCAGTATTTGCTTTTGCTATTAGAAATAGTGCTTAGATTATGTGTGTGTGTGTGCGTGTGTGTGTATGTGTGTGTGTGTGTGTGTGTGTGTGTGACATTTTGTGTGTTTGGGACAGATCTCTAGAAGTAATTTTTCTAAGCCTAAGTACAGATATAATTTTGCTAGAAACCACCAATTTCTCCTTCACTGGTATATAGTAATTTGCACTAGCACAACTCATATATAAAGGTATCTTTTTTCTCCAGTGTTTCAATTGAGTATGCTGTCAAATTTTTGCATTTTTGCCAATCTTCAGAAAATCTAATTAAAAAATGATAAATAGTATTTCAGTTGGAGTTTTAATATTTCCAATCTTCTTTGAAGAAATTTAAGAATATCTTCATGTGTTTAAGAAAAAATTTAAATTTTACATCACATATTTAATTTTTTTCTATCAATACCTAAAAAAAAATTAATGTATGTGATCTCCTTCAGGACATGACAGGGACCTCTACAAATGTTTACTTACCTTTTCTGCTCAACTGTTATTACTTTCTATGTTTAAGTTATCTGGAATTTTAGTTTCATGTTGTTAATAATGTTTTATATCATTCCTCAATACTTTTTCAAATCAGCTTTTATAAGGCTCTTGTATTTGCATTTTTCTCATTTAGTACTATGATTAACCTTTATAAAGATTATGTGCAAGTAACCAAATTTGAATCTTTTCATGTCCAAATATGTCTGCTAGCTTTCATTTGAATGACAGTTTTGCGTGGGAATAGAATTCTGAATGCAAAATCACTTATTCCTTTGGCTGTCCATGATAATTACTTATCTGCTTCTTAGCATCCAACAACACCTATGAAGAGTCTGCTATCAAAAAAAAAAAGTTTTATCTATGAAAATATTATTTCAATCTATTCTTATACTTTTACAGATATTTTTAACTTGACTTTAAAGTTTTTGCTTTTCCTTAGAAGTTTTGACATTGAAACAGTTTGCATCCAGGTGTCGGTCTTATCTTCATTTATCATATTTGGCACACTATGATTCTTTCCAGTTTTGACAATATAAGTCTTCCTTTAGAGCTGGGGTTTTCTTTTCTCTTATATTTTTGACTCTTTTCTTCCTTTTATTTTTCCGTATAATCATACAATAAAATGCCTTTTAAGCAGATGTTGAACTCTCTGGATATCTTCCAGGCTTATTACCATACTTTCCTATTTTTATGTATATTTTTAATTCTAGGAATTCCTCAATTTTTCCAGAAAGCCTCATGGCTTTTCTTTCTTGCTCCTCACCTCTAATGTTATGAATTTCATATATGTAATTTTCTGTAATTTCAAGGAATCTGCAGTAATAATGAAGGTAGATGAATGCACCAGTTATCTTTACAAAATGATCTCGATTTTAATTAATTTTACATAATTATATTTATTTTATACATGATTTTCTGTTTTCACATTTAAGTCGCTGTCTTTTAGTTTCAGTATGATTAAATATTTTTTCAGAGTATATTTTAATGACATACTAATCTGTTGTGTGGGCAAATAATTTATTTGGGAACATTTCAGATTTTTTCTCATTCTTCACTATTATAAGTAGTGCTATGATAAACAAACTCTATACATAAGTTTTTTGATGCATTATTTGTATGGGTTAGATAGATTCATTACTCTGAATCAAAGATCATGTATATTTTCAAGGTTAAATTTAAAAAATAAAAAACAAAAACAAATATGGTAGTTATTACAATTCTATTAGTAGATTGACAATTCATCACACATTAACTGGTACTGAGTATTATAAGTTTAAAACATATCTATTTTTTTATATATATATTTTTTTCCTTTAAAACCTTCACGGTTCTTTGAATACTACTTAGTTAAAATTGTTTTTATGAATGTACGGTCATATTTCCTCGTCTGTGAAGTAGTTTTCTCCTTGCTGACTTTCTTTTAAACACTTTATGATTTTTTAATGATTTTTGCATTTGCATCTTTCTCAATCAGCACATTTATCAATTATTAGAACTTTTTGCATATAAGGGAATTTTATTAACATTTTCTGCTTCTGTAAATATTTCCCTAGTTTGTTATATACTTTAAATTTTACTATATTTTAAAAGCAATTTTTATATTTATATTAAAAAAAATACATTAATCACTTTTTCCTTTTGGTTTTTTCTATTATTTTTGTTTAGCTAAAACTTTCTCATCTAGAGACCAAATAAATATTCGCCTTTATTTTATTCTAGATTTCTTATGCTTTAAATTCTCGTTTACATTAATTTTCAGCTTATTTTGATGTACATAAAATTTACTTTTCCCCAAACAACCAGTTTTCCTAGCTGAATTTAATGAACACTCTAGTCACTTCCTTTGATTTGCAATACTTTATTATATATTAATTTTACAGGTAGAACTATACATATTATAACATCTATTTCTAGGCTATTCATTTTGACTCATCTCTTTTTATACCAATTACTTATTATAGCTCTATAACCCAATCTAACATTTAATATCTTATAGGACAAATCCATATACATCTCATATTATAAGGAAAACAGATTTAAAACATTCCTAAATGGCACTTCTAGAACTCAGTGGTCATACGAGGAAATGTCTATCTCAACAACAGGCATTTAGAACCCAAATGGCTAAAATGTTTATTTTTACAATAGTTCCAACAGTTAAACCACTATTACAAAAGAATAAAAGCAAAAGTAGCTTTTTCTTTTCAGGACATGTGAGAGCATCCAGTGAGTGCTATATATGTGCAAACGATCAATGGCTTTTGGCTTATATCCTCACGTTTTCTTTTAAAATAAAAGTATTCTTTCATATTTTTATCCAAAAATATTGGCCTCAAACTTGGTTGTGACTTCTTCATGTGTTATCCACTTGGAATGAAGCTGTCATTTCCACTTAGAGTCATAGGCCCATAGGAAGATTGCTGGTGAAACCATGGCCTTGGGCCTCTGGAACCTGGCAAGACCAGCAGTTTGGGGCATCAAAGCTCATACCTGAAGTGCTGAGGAAAGGGTTGCTGCACACTTGCCATGTAATGCTGATTTTTCATAGAAATATAAAGCAACTCTTGGAGGAATAAACCATTGCTACATGCTACAATAAGAATGAATCTCAAAATAATTAGCTTGAGTGAAAGAAGCAAGACCCTTCCCCTGAATCGTACATATTGTTCGATTCTATTTATATAAATTTCCAGAAAATGCAAACTAACTTGTAGTGGCAAAAACCAGACTAATGATTCCCTGGAGGAACTGAGGGGATCAGAGAGAGGCTCAGGTAGGAAGAATTACAAAAGGGCACAGGAAACTTTTGGTGTGATGGATATTTTTGTTTTGATTGTCAAATTGTACAGTGTAAATGTGTACAGTTTATTGGACATTAGTATATATGTAAGTGTGTGTATGTGTGTGTGTATTTACAGTTGAATGAAACCACGCAAACGGTAGGCAAGAGGCAGAAAACAGAATGAGGAAGATACAAGAAAATATTGGAGAATAGGCAAGACCAAGGAATCTCCAAAGGATTCCATCAAAGCTATATACAGCCCAGAATGGGGATCAAAGCTGGTTAGGGCTGAGCAGTACTTTGCAAACCTTAATTTGTATGTAAATCCCCTGTGGCTCTTGTTAACATGTAGATTCTGATTTAGTAGGCCTGAGCTGGGGCCTGGGATTCTGCATTTCTCACAAGCTTCCTGGTGGTGCTGGTGTTTCCACCAGTCTTGGAGTAGCAAGGGGCTAGAGCATTTGCTGTCAACTTTGGCTCTCTACCAGAATCATTGGAGAGCTTAAACTAAATAAATAAATATTTTTTAAAGCTTCCATGCCTGGATCTTATCCCTACCCCTATAGATTTTGATTTAATCAATCTTCAGTTCTGTTCAGGACTCAAGAATTTTTATATCTACCCAGATGATTCTAATATGCTGCCAAGGTTGATAACTACTATTCCAGAGAAAATGATTAAAGCCTTATCAGGGAATGAGGGAGAAAAAACCCTGAAAGGCTGAAAGAGATGGCAGGTACAACCTGAGCCAGAGAAATGTAATGAACCATGTCCCCAATGAGAACACAAATTGAGCCTGTTCCAAACATGCAAATTTACCTGTGACTTATACCTGTATTGTTCTGCCTGTGTTAAAGATGCTTTTCCTGCTTTCACACCTGCCCTAGGAAACGTTCCAGACTGATTACTAAACAGGCAGATGGGTAGCGAGGCCTTTCTAACATTAGAACCACAGGGAAGAAAAGTTGCCATGGAGGAAGCCGACCAGAGAGGCTGGTTGGGCACCTACTTCCCAACACATCCACAACAACTTTTGCATTGAAAAGAGACAACCCCAGCCTCCCTCTTCCTGTCAGTGATGGGCCACCTACTGGGCATGACAGACAATGCTACAGTCTTCTAATATGCCCCAGAACTGTTTTAAATATCATTTTCAATTTGGCTAGCTTTCTATTAACATTAATAGGTTGAAAATCATTTTTTGATCTGGTTACAGATTTGTGTCTGCCTCACAGAATTCTGATACTAAAACTACCAATGCACCAGAATCCTGAAATGTTTAATGAGACATGTCCATTTAATTGTTCTGCTTGGAACTTAGCCAGAGTTTGCCAGCATTTTGCTGGCAAATGTCATCATTTACAGACTGACCTTGGCCACTGATTAGGATCACCATTGCTAAAATTCTATATTGGGAAATGAGTTATATTTAGTGAAACAAAAGACTTTTGTTTTCATTTAGTTGATTAAATTGCAGTATAGAAACAAAACAAACAAAACCAACTTCAAACATATGACTACAGTCTGGTTTGATTAAAACCATTATGTTTAACTTCTGATGCAGGGGATGCTGTGTACCTAGAAGACGAGAAAGAAAGGGAAGAGTATGTCCTGAATGACATCGGGGTTATTTTTTATGGAGACGTCAATAACATCAAGGCTAGAAGCTGGAGCTATGGCCAGGTGAGCCATTTAAAATTTGTCATTGTCAAGGACATTTTTGCATAATATTTTTGTCACATGTATCACCACAGGGTGCCAAATGTCAATATTAGACAAGCATAATTTCCTGCTTTTCAGGATCTGAGACTCCAAGACTGAGAGCCCAGAAGTAGAGACTTAGAAAGGCAGCTGCATAATTTATCAGCTGAAATCACATATCTTAAGTTATTACAATGTGACAGAGACCAGAAAGTCTATGGAAAACATGGCATTCTAGTGAGAAGTGCTCTGGCATCTTAGTACAGTGAAGTCTCATCAGCTCAGACCTTGCTCTGCAACCTGGAATGGAATAAGCTTTATTGTTAAGGAAAGCTGTTTCGATAATGATGCAAAGGATACCACAAGGTGTGTACCCAACTCAAAGAAATAAGTCTTTCAAGTGTTAGTATAAAATTCCGCTGATAAGAAAAAAATGTTACCATTTCATCAAAGGAGGGCCCACTGTGCTTTTACTTAAAGACACTTTATTTATCACCTGCAATCTGAAGTTACTGTCTGGATATAAAATATCTTAAAAGGATTTCATTTAAGACACTGAATTATTCAAACTATGTCAGTTTGGTGTCTTTAACAATTGAGCAAATGGATGCTATTTACCATATTTCCATAAATAAATGCATGTCCTGTAGTTCAGAAGCAACTTTTTCTTAGTGGCATGAAAGGGGGTGAATGTGTCTTTCTCAGAGTTTTGGCTGAGAGGATTGGAAGCGTGCACATTGTTCTGGTGCCCAGGGTGGAAAGTTTACAGCCTCCCCAGGTAGCATGATATTTCTTGGCCTCTTCATGCCTTGTTTTGATTTCCACAGAGGCTCTCCCTTCAACTTCCTCTCCTGCTCTAGCCTGATCCACAACACCTGTGTCATCACTAACTTGTGTCCACCTAGCTTTGTCTCCCACTCCTTCCCCCTGACTCCTGAGTGTCACATGCCCAGGACGCAGGCTTGCCCCCTGCATTTCTGACATCCCATCAAGCTAATGGCCTATGTCTTCTTCCCCTTTTTTGCATCCCTGCCTGGTTCTCTGGTTATAAGCTGACCCTTTCCCAAGTGACATACAATTTGACTATTGCCTATTGTCTGGTGCCCTTGCTCTAGGTCACTGATCCCTAACATCTAGGTGTGATTCTTTTAACGTTCCCCATGTGAAAATATATAGAGAGCTAATAAGGACAAAGTCTCCAAGGTGGGTAGCAAAGAGATCTGGAAAAGGGTCTTCCTCAACCAGGATACCTTTGATAGTCACCCTTAAACACAGCCACTTTCTGTCTCTACTGTCATTCAGAATCTATTAATTTCGGTCCTTAAACACAAAGAACCAAGTAAACCAGTGGTTTGCAGTTATGCAGAGAAACAACTAGTTCTATGACTAACATTTTACCTCTTCAGCAAGCTGATACCATGTCCCATAGACATGGCTGAAAGATGTTACTTAAGAAGAACCAGAATAATGAGTTCTTTATATACCTGAAGAACTAGTGCAACTACCCACTACTGTTTCCATCACATCTGTTTAGAGTATACGTAGAATTGGTATTCTCACTGGATTTAGTGAAGAATTGCATGGTAATTAGCCATTAAGATTGTTATTTCTGTCACAAGTGCTTGTATGAACAATTGTAAGAGTTCTGTATTCAGGAAAATCTCCTGTACAGTGAGGTACAATATCGGTGAAACCTTCCATTTTATCATTTTATCACTACTTGACTTTATTTCTTTTTTAGAAAATAGAAGTGTTGCAAGTGGCTAGCTGTTCTCACTAAGGAAATTGAACTGACTACTAGGTTGCTCCCTTGATAATATAATCTACTTTGTACAGCCCTCTCTTTGACCTTGGAGTTCACCCTGTATCAGGATCAGGAAAACCTTAGACAGACATTCACTATGCGAAGTCTATTCTATTTCCCGTGCAAGGTATACAGGCCTGCTGTACCTTCCTGTGATATACCTGAGAGCCATTTATTTTCTAGACATACAAGGACTCTTGTGACTTCTGAGGTCTCGAGTCTTTGGCCTGACTTTGGTAAATCATTTATTCCTTTGCCTTGGGCACTGGAGCCAATATGTTGGAGAGATCCTCTAAATTTACTTGTACAATTTTCTGAAGAACTTCAAGTCAGTTCATGATCCTTAAATATTGTACATCAGTTCTCTAATAGTTCTGTTTCTATTTCTAGCTTGCTTTTAAGTTCTTATTTATTTTACTGAGAAATAAAAGAGGATGTCTCCTTCATTCCACTTTAGTATTAAATATTAAGTATAAAAGATTATGAGAAACTACTCTATAGAAAATGTACATTTCTAAACATTATCTTGTGGTTTCATTTTACTTTTTTCCAGAGAGTATTTTGCTTGCAGAGTGGACATTAAGTAGTTTCTCATTTTTTTTCCCCAAATAGTTCGAGGATGGCATCCTGGATGCTTGCCTGTATATGATGGACAGAGCAGAGATGGACCTTTCAGGCCGAGGGAATCCCATCAAAGTCAGCCGTGTTGGGTCTGCAATGGTAAGCAACTGCTCCTGAGTACTAAAATCAAGTCCACATCATTTGCCTCAGTATAGATACCAGTTCATTAAGAGCTATTGAAATGGTGACTTAAACTTTTGTTTTAATAGTCTGCAGTTCTCTGAACTTGTCATGTGCTATAAAATAAAGTTCTTCTCTTAGTACTGTATGTTTCTTTGGCTTCAAACAAATGGTGATAGCTGACATGATGCTATACTTATTCTTAAGAATCTCCTGCCTAGAGACTAAGGAGTGATCATGACAAAATGTCAGTGACCATAACCAATAATAAATCAATCAAACAAACAAACATCAGGGGGCACCAAAAAATGTACAAGACACAGTTTTTCTCCATTTTCACACCCACTGTAAGAGTTAAGAAATAAGTGACTCTATCTAATCCTAGCTTCTATTACAATAATACCTTACCATAGGGCTTTATCATTTATAAAGTGGGTTTTGATTCTTCATAGTAATCACATGAGATAGGTAGGATGGGTATTACGCCATTTCACAAGTTAGGAAGAAACGGTATGATGACAGGTTGTCAGTGACAAAGCTACCCCTTGAACCCAGGTCTGCTGACCCCAGATCTAGACATTTTTTCCCTTCCCCATTGCCTTGGGTAGGAAATCCTGAAGAGGAAGCTATTTTTGAGAATGCAGACATCCTGCAGTGGAATAGCTTCCTGGGAGAGGAAACAGAGTTCCCATGAGAGGGAAGGTTGGGAGATCAGGCACAGGGGTGAGTTAAATGTGATGTCCAGCTCTTGTGCAGTCCTGGACTGTACTGATAGACGCAGCACATAGATCCTGTCTTTGGTTCACAAAAGCGCATTAAAGCTGACTCATGAGCAGGATATTCCTAAAGACACAGCAAGCTAGGTGCTATCTTATTCCATCAAAGACTGAGCAAAACAAAACAAAAAATCTTATATTACCAATTCCCTTAAGTTTTCTTTAAAAAATAATGTCTTTGGAAGAATTTTAAGTTTGGTTTGAATTAAATGAAATCAGTATTGTCCAATCAATCAATATTAGACTGAGAATGAAAGGAAATGTAATTTCTGGTTAGCTCTTAAGAAAGATTGTTTTTATTAATAACTAAGCTACATGCGAATTTATGAAATAGTGTAGCTTAACAAAGGAAGTAAAAGCTAACCTCTAAAGGCAGTTTTATTTTCTGTTGCTAGTTTACATTGCATATGAAAAGACAATAAATTCTAAAGAATTTAGGAATTTATTCACAAAAACTATTTATAACATACATTAGACCTGTAGTCAATCACAATTTTTTCTGTTTCACAGACAAGATCCCCCTTTTTCTTCTCCTTCGAAGTCACCGTGACAGGTTTGCAGTGAGAAGGAAGCAATAGCTAGTAGCGGTTGCATATAAATTCCTTCTTAAGCATTCTAAAATGACGTGCTCATCAGACTAAACTTACTCACACTTTGTGTGTATTTTCACTCGTCCAGAAATCACTGCCTACCACAAGTCAATGTGAGGGAAGCAAACATGAAGCAGTTAATCCGATACTTCCTATAATGGGATCTGGCCAAGTAGAATCTGTTACATTTTGAATTAAGGACATAATCTTAATGCAAATTACCTTAAAATATTGTTAATCATGAAAAGTCTATGAAGTTCTAGGTTTTTTTTTAATTTATTTCTTTTTTTTAAATTTTTCAAATACATTTGTCTCCCTTTACCCGCCACCACTTCCCCCTGCCCCACCCCCCTTCACCTCCCCTCCTCAATCCTTCCCCACCTTGGCTTTGTCCATGTGTCCTTCACACTTGTTCCTTGCTCTAACCCTTCCTCTTCCCTCCCCGCTACCCACTCCCTCCCTCCCATGCCGGTTGGTTTCTTCTTTCTTCCAATGTTGCTGGTCATTTTTTCCTTGCCTGCTTGCTTTGCTGATTAGGTTCCACTTATAGGTGAGATCATATGGTATTTGTCTTTCACCACTTGGCTTATTTGACTTAGCATATGTTCTCCAGTTCCACCGATGCTGTGGCAAAAGATAGTAGCTCTTCCTTTCTTTCTTTCTTTCTTTTTCTTTCTTTCTTTCTTTCTTTCTTTCTTTTTCTTTCTTTTCTTTCTTTCTCCCTCCCTTCCTTCCTTCCTCCCTCCCTTCCTTCCTCCCTTCCTTCCTTCCTTCCTTCCTTCCTTCCTTCCTTCCTTCCTTCCTTCCTTCCTTCTTTCCTTTCTTTCTTTCTTTCTTTCTTCCTTTCTTTCTTTCTGCTGGATAGTATTCCATTGTGTAAATGTACCATAGTTTTTCTATCCACTCATTTACTGATGGGCACTTAGGTTGGCTCTAGCTCTTGGCTATTGTAAATTGTGCTGCTATGAACACTGGGGTGCATAGGTTCTTTTGAATTGGTGTTTTGGAATTCTCAGGGTATAATCCCACCAGTGGAATTGCTGGGTCAAAAGGCAGTTCCATTTTTAGCGTTTTGAGGAGATTCCAAACTGTTTTCCACAGTGGCTGCACCACTCTGCATTCCCATCATCAGAGTACTAGGGTTTCCTTTCCTCCACAACCTCATCAGCACCTGTTGTTTGTTGATTTATTGATGATGGCCATTCTGACCAGTGTGAAGTGGTATCTCATTATGGTTTTAATTTGCATTTCTCTGATGGTTAGTGATGATGAGCATCCTTTCATATGTCTCTGAGCCCTGTGTATGTCTTCATTGGAGAAGTGTCTGTTCAGTTCCTTTGTCCATTTTTTAATTGAATTGTTTGTCTTCCTGGAGTGGAGTCTTGTGAGTTCTTTATACATTTTGGAGATCAAACCTCTGTCTGAGATATCATTGGCAAATATATTTTCTGATATGGTTGTTTCCCTTTTCATTTTCTTGATGTTTTCTTTAGCCATGCAGAAGCTTCTTATTTTGATGAAATCCCATTTGTTTATTTTTTCCTTTATGTCCCTTGCTCAGGGGACATATCGGTGAAAATATTGCTGTGTGGAATATCTGAGAGATTCCTGTCTCTGTTCTCCTCCAGGACTTTTATGGTGTCACAACTTATATTTGTCTTTTATCCATCTTGAGTTTATTTTTATGTATGGTGTAAGTTCATGGTCAAATTTCATTTTTTTGCATGTAGCTGTCCAGCTCTCCCAACACCATTTGTTGAAGAGGCTATTTTTACTCCATTTTATGCTGCTGTCCCCTTTGTCAAATATTAATTGACTATAGAGGCACAGGTTTCTTTCTGAGTTCTCTATTCTCTTCCATTAATTTATGTGTCTGTTCTTTTGCCAGTACCATTCTGTTTTGATTACAGTGGCCTTGTAATATAGATTGATGTCAGGTATTGTGATCCCTCCTACTTTGTTCCTCTTTCTCAAAATTGCTGCAGGTATTCAGGATTGTTTATGGTGCCATATAAATTTTTGAAATGTTTGTTCTATGTCTATGAAATACATCATTGGTATTTTAATAAGGATAGCATTGGATCTATAAATTGCTTTGGGTAGTATGGACATTTTGATGATGTTAATTCTTCCAATCCATGAACATGGTATATGCTTCCATTTATTTGTGTCTTCCTTAATTTCTTTCTTCAGTGTTGTATAGTTTTCTGCATACAGATCTTTTACCTCCTTGTTAAGTTTATTCCTAGGTACTTTATTTTTTTTGTTGTTGCTATAGCAAAGGGGAATTTTTTCCTGATTTCTGATTCTGATATTTCATTTTTGATGAGATAGAAATAAAAAATGCCTTCGACTTCTGAATATTGACTTTGTATCTTGTTTTGCCAAATTCACTTATTAGGTTGAGCAGTTTTTTGGTGAAGTCTATGGGGTTTTCCATGTACACTATAATTTCATCTGGAAACAATGATAGTTTTACTCCCTCCTTTCCAATTTGGATAGCTTTTATTTCTTTTTCTTGTCTGATCACTGCGGCTAGGACTTCCAATACCATGTTGAATAGAAGTTGTAAAAGCAGACATCTTTGTTTTGTTCCTGATCTTAGTGGAAAAACTTTTAGTTTTTGCCCATTGAGTATCAGGTTGGCTGTAGGTTTTTCATATATGGCCTTTATTATGTTGAGGTATTCTCCCTTTATTCCCACTTTGCTGAGTGCTTTCATCATAAATGAGTGCTGTACAGTATCAAATGCTTTTTCTTCATCTATTGACATGACCATGTGGTTTTTGTTTTTCCTTTTGTTTTTGTGATGTATTACGTTTATTGATTTGTGAATATTGAACAATCTTTGCATCCCTGGGATGGATCCCAATTGATCATGGTGGATGACCTTTTCAATGTATTGCTGGATGCAGTTTGCCAATATTTTGTTGAGGATTTTAGCATCTATGTTCATCAATGATATGGGCCTGTAGTTTTCTTTCTTGGTTGTGTCTTTACCTGGGATTAGGATGAAGCTGGCTTCTAAAAAGAGTTTGGGAGGCTTCCTTCTTCTTGGATTTTTTGGAATAGTCTGAGAAGGACAGGAGTCAGCTTTTCCTTAAATGTTTTGTAAAATTCTCCTGTGAGACTGTCCAGTTCAGGGCTTTTGTGTGCCAGGAGTTTTTTGATTACTGCTTCAATTTCATCAGCTGTTATTGGTCTGTTCAGGCTTTCTGGTTCTTCTTCATTCAGTGTTGGAAGGTTATATTTTTCTAGAAATTTGTCCATTTCATCCAGATTTTCAAATGTCTTGGCATATCATTGTTCATAGTGATTCCTTACAATCGTTGTATTTCTGTGGTATCAGTTGTTATTTCTCCTCTTTCATTTCTGATATTATTTATTTGGGTCATCTCTCTTTTTTCCGTAATGAGTCTGCTTAAAGGTTTGTCTATTTTGTTTATCTTTTCAAAGAACAAGCTCCTGGATTGAGTGGTCCTTTGAATTGTTCTTTTAGTCTCTATGTCATTCAGTTCTGCTTTGATCTTGATTATTTTCTTTCTTTTGCTTCCTCTGGGCTTTGTTTGTTGTTGTTTCTCCAGTTCTTGAAGCTGGAGGGTTAGGTCATTTA